GTGCAGAAAAGTAGGTCGTTAAACCCCATTCTATTTCATTTCCTTGCTCAACAGAAGTACTGATTCCCAGGTTGTACGTGACAAGGAGCAGGGTCGCCTGTCCAACCCACTGTTAAAGACAGCTACGCGCAAGCGAATTATTGATATAAAATTGAACCATATGTTAATCCGAAATAACCTAGTTTGTGTCGAGTGGATGTTAAACCCAATGCGTGCGTGTGTGGAATTTTACAAGTGTTTCCTAAGAAATTTGCCAGCGGAAGCCACAAAGTAGGCTTGATCCAGCTTGTTTAGGTAAGACATAGTGTCTTTGCAGGGAAGCGCCCTAGGTATATTTTATCAAAAGGAGAGGCTCCGGGTGTCAGAAAAGAAAGAATGGCGAGCCTGTGCAGTCTGGCCCGCTTTGCCATAATGCTAAAATCTTAGGTGTGGTAGGTAAATTTAGGTTTGACTGTCAGCCGGCCCTTAGGGCCCGCCGCCTATCCGACCTAGCTTCAGGGATGTGGTTAGGTAAAATTAGGTTTGACTGTCAGCTGGTCCCTTTAAAACCCCCATTTCTCTCTTTCCCTAAAGTACAATGATCGGCCAACGCAGGGACTCGTAGTTTCTAGTGAGACTCTCTCTCTCTCTCTCTCTCTCTCTCTCGTTTGTTCTATGTTAGGTTTGGCAACTAAGGTCAATATATAGATTAATCAAATATGATATAAGTATGCGATGTATCGAAGACGACAAGTGATAATCTATATACTAATCTCTATGACAGTTCATAAATCTATTTGGTATGTGTGGGTACACTAGCTGGGATGAGAATAAACTGGTCTTGTCTTGTATTATAATATGACCAATCAGTTATCATAAATTAACTCTCATTCTTAACACAGTGTGGAAACATTGTGGCTGTTATAGACGGTCATTGTTCTAGAAATGAAATTAAATGGGTTTTAACGCCCTATTTTTTCTAGGGGGTTGGTTGGTCGTATGGTTACCGCGTGCGCCTTGTATCATACGATCTGGCATTGAGTCAAGTGGCGTGGTTTCGATTCCCCGGTTGTACGTGACATGGAGTAGGGTCGCCTGTCCAACCTCGTGAGTTTTCTCCGGGCCCTGTTTTCCTCCCACTGCTAAAGAACCCTATACAAAAGCGAAGTAATGAAATAAAATTGAACCATATGTTAGTCCCAAAATGACCTAGTTTGTGTCAAGTGGACGTTAAACCCCATTCCTCTCTCCTACTTTGCTTAATGTTGACATTATGTAATAATGAACAGCTATATAATCGCGGTGACGAAAACGTAAACTGATTAACATAATAATATTAAAGCGATCAAGTTCGATCAGGGTAATTCTGTATTACCTGTTCCATTACTAAATGTCATTGAAATTGAAGCAATTATCACATACACATCATTTGTAATTTTGAGAATTTGTTGCTGAATTGGCAGAAAATACGTTATGGACAATTTCTCATCCCGACCTTCACCTGGATTCTTTACAAGGTCCATTAACCTTGGTTAAGGATGTGAGCACGGTACCTATTTGATTGACTACAGACCGGAAGTACTACAATAGATTGTTATTGTCCGTGGCTATATCCCACAGATAACATGGACCGATGCATGATCCCATTTGCTTTTAAATACTCTGGAACGACCACTGTCCTTCATTGATATTCCCTTTGTAAAAAGTGCAGAGCTGAGGACCTGGACCTAGGTCGTTCGAGTATACGTACCGTGTATACGTTGGCGTGCACGTAACAGAACCGTTGACCGGATGAATTCGAAATAAGAGTAGGCCGACCCCCATAGCACACTGTAAGGCGTATGCCCGTCTTCATTAGCCCAGTCGGGGCAGAACAGTAGGATGTTAAAGCCCATTTCATTTCATTTCCACCAATATTAGCACGGATGCAGAAAAGTAGTACGTGACGTTAATTAATATCCTAGCACTTAGAAACCTTATAACAACATTGTTTAGAATTACCATTCTTTTCAGTTGAGTAAATTTGTATATAAATGACAATTTGACATCCCTAATGATTATTATGCAGGGCGAATAAGTACGTCTGTCGTGGTCCGCTTAGAAGCAGATTGTTTTGTGTGGCAAACTACTTTTTTAAATATTTTTTGCAAGTCTGATTTTGGAGAAATTGACGTAGAAAGTCTGTGTTCGTTTCGGCGGGTAACTCTGCTTTGACCTTGGTATTTCAAGTGTTCTCTTAAACAATCCACGTTCAAACCGTCGCAGTGAAAATATTTTTCGTGTGACTTTTATACATGCAAACGGCTAGTTCACGCTAAGTAAAAATTCCAGTATTGAAGTGGATGCATAGTCCGAAATGTCTCCGTATCAGATGCTCGTTGGTCATAAGTTATGGCGTCACAGAGAGAGAGAGAGAGAGAGAGAGAGAGAGGTTTAATGCACAGGCGACCCTAATCCTTGTCACGTACAACCGAGAAATCGAAACCACCCCATTTGACTCAATGCCAGACCTTATGATTGAACGTGCACGCGCTAGCCATTCGGCCATCCAACTTAAGGACAAGTTGATAAACATAATACATGTACAAGCTTTGACCCAGATTCTAAATGTGATGACGGTTTAACCACCCAGACAACAAGTATATCATTGAACGAAAGGGATTACAAATCATGTACACAGAGATTAAGACACGGTGGATATATGATAAGTTAAATCAGTTACATGTATGTATATAGATATCTTAATCCGCCTTAATCTCTTATCACGTTTAAGTGGGCTTGAAAATCATGTTATTTCTTATAGAAGACAGCTGACCCTATAGGTGTCTGTCTGGTATTTATTTGATTGTCTTTTTTAAGTCTAAGTGGGTAAGACGCTGGCTCGCTAGCCTAGAGCTCGGGTGTTCGATCTCTGCATTGGCCGAGAAAGTTCATCCAGATTTTCCGGCGCGATTCTCCCTTGTCAGTGATGCAGGACGGAGGGCCTGACAAGGACAGCTGTCTAGTCGTTCGGATGGGACGAGCAACCGAGGTCCTGTGCACGTAAAAGATCCCTTGACAGTTGGAATTCGATATAAGAGTAGGCCGTAGTGCCGCTGTCCGGGCAAAATTTCCCTCATAGCACACTGTATGGAGTATGCCCGTCTTCATTAGCCCAGTTCGGAGCAGAACAGTAGAGCGTTAAACTCCATTTCATTCACACTTTTTTTTTAAATGATTAGTTAAAACCACAGAATCAATCTTCGCAATATCGTCGCAAGCCGAGAAATTACCGTTTCTTATTTTACAGGCCCTATTCCAATTTGTTCGGGGGTCGCGGTGGTCGAACAGATGGGCATTGGTCTCACTACTAGAATTTTCCGGTTCGAGTCCCGATGTGGACGGTGAAGGAAAACTACATATGCCATGTCGACTCCCAGAGGGTCGGATTTATCAATAGGCATAGTAGGTTATTGACCTAGATCCCACAGGTATCTGGGAGCTCACCGAAACTCGGTAGTCGCGTGCCGCCGTATAACCTTGTGTCAAGCGTAAAGCATGTATTTTATTATATAATATACTCAAAACCAAAAAGTCCCGTACACAATTTTTCTATAAATTTGGAGGCACACAAGAAGGCAAATCCGACATTGTGTGTGAGGAAAGTCGGAGAGAGAGAGAGAGAGAGAGATGATATAACGTCCACTCGACAACATACTCGAGACACACAAGGTCATTATTTCGGTACTAACATATGTTCAGTTTTATTTCATTAATTCGTTGGCGATGGGAAACTTGTCATGTACACGCGGGGAATCGAAACCACGCCACTTGTCTCTATGACAGACCTTAAGATGCAACACACACGCGTTAGCCATTCGCCCACTCAACCTCCCAACACCGGCGGGACTGTTACGGGTATCGAAAACGCCGCTGTCCAAGCCTCCTTCTGTCGTTAATTCAACGTGTACTGGAAAAGCTCTTTACAATGCTGTGGTATTCTCTTCCGTCCACTATCAGGTATTGTTACCAAACTCTTGACACAATAACATTATTACAATCATAAAACAAAAATTATATATACTTTAATATATTTATATTAGATCTATATAAAGATAGATAATGATAAAAATGATATAATATAAAAAAAATTAAACATTAATAAAAGATTCTAATATAAAAAAGGAAATAATATAATAATATAATACATATGAAATATTTAGAATAATGTAAAATGAATTTCTGAAGATTTGATAAATTACATAATATAATTTTGTACGGAATGAAAATATAATGACGTGTCACGTGATAATGATTAATATGTGATTCTTAATTTCAGTCAGATCTGACCCCGAGTTCACAAAACATTCTCAGAATTAACGCTAGGTGCTGTGACTGAAATCGTGGTTTTAATCGTGGAGTAATCGTGGTGATCGTACCAGGTTCCCACTATCACGACTCTTGCAAGAAATGAAATCGTGGTTTTAATTTTGGAGTAATCGTGGTGATCGTGTCACGTCTTATCACATATTGAGGCCAGTCGTAGCAATCGTGTCGATTGTATCGAAACATATCAGAACGTATCTGCACGTACCATATCAGAACGTATCTGCACGTACCATATCGTGGATTCAATAGGGACAATCTTAAAGTAACGCATTGGACGACAGTGGGAACCTAACATAAGTTAAGAATTTACTCAAAATTGTTCGCTTTATTTTAACTAAAATATTGCTCTTTATAAAACTTTTGATGTTTTAATGTATCAAATACATCAATAAGAAACTATGTGCAAAGTTTTGTGTTTCTGGATCAAAGATATTTCTCATAAACAGTGATTGGAAGTTGAGTAAATTCTTAACTTAAGTCTGAGAATGCTTTGGGAACATGGAACCTGGCAACTAGAAATACTTTAAAGTGGTAATATAAGTCAATGCAAGCCCGAAGAATTTTTCATAACTAAGATTTTTATCTTACTAATTCTAACAGTTTATAAAGATACATTATATAAAATTTAGATAAAAAGCTGGGATTCTTGCTATTATAGTTCAAAAACAGATAATGCAAAATTTCTTTATTCTCAGTCATGTTATTACTGTTTGTAGTTTTGACCAGATGTGTGCATTGATTGTTTAATATCGTAACCACGGTACTGGTATATTCGAGCCTTTGCATCACTTCTCCATTTTTAAATTAAATCATTAAATGGCCGAACCGTTCTAATCTAGTTAAAATCTCGAGTACCCAACGGCATCGAGAGTTGAGTATGACCTTGTCACGTTAATAAAATTTCAATGTCTAATTAATAATTTATATAACTTGCATTTACGACCTGAAAAAAGTCCTGCAGTAGACAAATTTAGCTCTTGAATAATGTATCTTTAAGCTATGATACTTTCAATATTCTTATATAATGCCCGTTGTTAATATTAAAGGGGCCCCCACATTAGTTTTAAAAAAAACCTTTGTATCATAAATAAATATGTGATTTATTATGTTGTATATGTATGTGCCAATTAAATCTATCTACCATACTGATATACAAATTGTATTTGTGTGAGTTTGATGGACATTGACCAGAATATGTTGATGCAAGGGTCCCAGTTGCATTTTCAACTAAGGGCCTCACCCAAGCTTAATCCGACCCTGGCACGATATAATGGCGGCTACACGAACTTGACTTTAAGAACTTGTGAGGTAGTGTCTTTAGCATTAGCATAAATGAGGTAAATATCTTTTTTATCAGTAAAGATTTCCCAGTCGGCAGTTGCCGGGGTGATTAAACGATGGACGGCCACAAACTTCTCCATACCCTGCCATCTATAAATAATACTGGTGTGTTGATCGGGACTACCACCGTTCTGGGCGTTCGAGACAATAAGGTAATGATCTGGACCCACTTGAAAATATTCCCAATCAATCGCACTGAAACAGACAAACACACAAATATGTAGTTTTAAACAAATATTTTCTACCACTATCTTTATATATCACAAATGAAACGACGGGTTCCGTTATATTATATATGCTGCCGATTGACAATCCTCCATGTTGTTCGGAAGGACGAAAAACCGAGGTAGGTATAAATACTGGTGTACACGTAAAGAATCCCTTCGCAGTTGGAATTCGATATAAGAGTAGGCCACAGCGCCGCTGTTTGTGCAATATTTCCCTCATAGAACAATGTATGGTGTATTCCCGTCCTCAAGGCTCAGTCCGAACCGAACAATATGACGTTAAACACCATTTCAAGTCATCTTTATATGCCACAACTGTAACGCCAAGTTTCGTCCGTTATGTATACTGCAGATTGACAATCCACCTAGTTGTTCGGATGGGACGAAAAACCGAGGTCCCGTGTACACATTGGCGTGCACGTTAAAGATCCCTTGGCAGTTGGAATTCGATATAAGAGTAGGCCACAGCGCCCCTGTTTGTGCAAAATTACCCTCATAGAACAATGTATGGTGTATGTCCGTCTTCAAGGCCCAGTCTGGGCAAAACAGTAGGAAATGAAATAAAATGAAATGGGGTTTAACGTCCTACTACTGGGCTAATGAAGACGGGCATACGCCATACAGTGTGCTATGAGGGAAATTTTGCCCGGGCAGCGGCACTACCGCCTACTCTTATATCGAATTCCAACTGCCAAGGGATCTTTTACGTGCATTCCAATGTATACACGGGACCACGGTTTTTCGTCTCATCCGAAAGACTAGACAACTGTCCTTGTTAGGCTCTCCGTTCTGCACCACTGACAAGGGGAAACCACGTCGGAAAATCCAGATGAACTTTCTCGGCCAATGCAGGGATCGAACACCCGACCTCCAGGCTAGCGAGCCAGCGTCTTACCCACTTAGCCACCGTGGCTCCCAGAACAGTAGGACGTTAAACTCCATTTCATTTGAAAATCCACCACCCATAAAACAGTCACTGTATGGATGAACACTGCCATAAAACCAAGATGGCGATGTGGAATCGAAATAATTATAAAAAAGAAACGCTATTGTCGGTTTTTGTCAGTGACTATAGCAGGGCGGCTTTTTTCAAAATTTCAATTATCCATTGTTCTTTTTATTTTTTTTATAAAATCATTTACATTTTGAATATGAAGTGTAGAATATGCATATCTATTACATATCTTTCATTGTCGGTAACCTTTTGCAAACCTTTGGGCTCTGCAATACTTTGGGCAATATTCAAAAAAAAAAACGCTCTTAAAGGCTCAATACCACTCTTGTTGTAACTGAATAATATGTCCCAATCTTTATTCTGGTCAACAAATGGTACTATTTTAGAATATTTCAATTAATTGATGATACAAATTTCATCTTAACACACCTTATTTAAAAATTTTGAAAAATTCAACATAATAGTTTGAAACGTCTAACGTAAACCTTTTCAAATGAAACTTCGATTTAAAAATATTTTCGAACCCTCTGGACAAGTAAAATAGGATGTAATGGATAATTTACACAACAGGTAGTACACTTAAACATCCAGTACTTAGATAGAGATATTATTTATTTTCTGGAGATTTCAAGCCAGCAAGAGTGTTATTGTCCCTTTAATGGTGATTAGTAGGACCGTTGTTGTCAAAATTTCAATTATCCATAATTTTGTCATTTTTTTTATGAAATCATTTAAAATTTGGATATAATGTGTAGAATGTAGATATATACAACATTTGTTGCCTTGTCGTTCACTTCTTGCAATACTTTGGGCGATATCGACAAAAGAAACGCCCTTGGCCGTATAGGACTGATATCAATTATAAGTTTTCATGAACTTATACACGTGTTAAATAACAATAAATCTCAACTTTAAAAAAAACCTCTTTTGATTCTACACGTTTGTCCGGCCCGTGTATGGTTTGATAATAGATTCTACGGCAAAAGGTAAATAAGCGGTGAATCGTGTTCCGTAAATGGTGTCTCATTAATTATGTTGACAGTTGAAAGAACGAGATTAACTTCTGTATAAAGAATAATTGTAGTCTTTTAGTCGACTTGTACCTCATCTAACCTGATGAACAACTTGTATGTATATATCCAGCATGTCCTCCAACAAACACTATATATAACTCATTATATTAACAGGCGCAATAAAACACTATTTGTATCCTTGTTTTCCCCCATCATTTTATAAACTATAGAATGTTTTAATTGGATCGTTTGAAGTAAAGATGGCGCATCTTGTTAAAGCGTGATATGTATTATTTTAAGATTTTGTGTTGAAACACGACTTACAAAAATAAAATGCGTAATAACTACAAATATTATAATGCAGGAGGACAATATTTTTAATCAAGTCCACAAGTTTATTGACATGTCAAACAGATTTTAATCTTGCTTATTAATTCTTTTAATTTACAATATTAGTTTTAAATTTACGTATGATGTAACTTATAATATATATTGTACATTGCCATCCGTCTCATGATATATGTATTTACATATATTTATGTATGTGTTTGCCATTTTACCTGTGTATATACACCCATTTTGTTCCTTTGTTTTAATATTATGTATGTATATTATCTAGAGAGAGGGATTTTACATAGGCTAAGCCTGTTCCCAAATCTCATTCAGACAAACTGAATAAAATATTGTTTATAAAAAAAAAAAAAAAAAGAAACGAAACCCATTACACAAACACGTGGACAATGGAACACATCATCAAGAACACGGGTTATATAACAACACTTCCAGATCCTAGCGTAGTAAAGACAAGTAAAAGGAAATTTTGAACTATAAAAAAACGGAACGGAATAGAATCTGTGTTTTAATCAGATTGTGTTTGGCGCGAACAGATCAAGTTTTATTTAGGATACGTTTATTGTTCTCGAGTATGACGTAATAATCAGCCATTTTTTCTGATTATACAAAAACATAACTTTATTTTATTTAAAAATAAAAACTATATTATACCAACCTATACGTGGGAATCGATTGATATTTCTCAAATATTTTCTTATCTTTGTTTAATTTATAAATGGTGGAATTGGTAAATTGTGTATCCTTATCCAGGTAATTCTGTGGACCGTAATTAAAGGCATTGGCTATTGCCAGGAATATATCACCATTTATCGTAAACCATTCTACATCTGTAGCACCATTTGTCTGAAATAAAAACATATATGTGAGAATATTATAAACAACATTTTAAAAAAGTGGACGTTAAATCCCATTTCTCTCCCTCTCTTATTATTGGCCCACCACTGGGGAGAGTCTCAATAACCACGAAACAATAAGCATGGACAAAACTATACAGTTATATGGGACAACAATCACTGGTTTATTAAACACAAGCACGACGTTTCGATAAGTATTCTCTTATCGTTATCAAGCACAATGGACGTTTGTCTAACGTTTGCCTTGCGCCAAACGCATGTTAAAAACGTTGTCAAAGCTCATATTATGTTTATCAATTTGTCCCCAAATATGACGCCATAATGGGTGGGGGGGGGCCGAATGGTTAGCGCGTGTGAGTTCAATCATAAGGTCTGTCATTGAGTCAACTGGCATGGTTTCGATTCCGCGGTTGTAGGGTCGCCTGTTCAACCCCGCGGGTTTCCTCTGGGCCCTCCGATTTTCTCCCACTGTTAAAGACCCCTACGCGTAAGCGAATTATTGAAATAAATTTGAACCATGCTAGTCCAGTTTGTGTCGACCTAGTTTGTGTCGAGTGGACGTTAAACCCAATTCCCCCCCCCCCCCCTCTCTGTCTGACCCCCTCTAAACTCTAAAAAATATTCGGAAAGTGCCTGATAAAAGTATTCTATAAATAGATTATTTGTATCCCATGTATGTATGGAATTATCGTGTTTTATTTAACCCAACCCAATTGATATAAAACCCGTCCAACATGTTTTATACACGACAAATAAAAAATGATAACATATTTTCCATTAATAGAATAATCTATCTTAGTTATAATAATAAATAACATAATTTACTATAATATTAACATGATAGGAGTTTATAAACTTATATCAAACACTGAGAGATGTCAAGAAACAAAACTACATGAATCCTTAATACCTACAAAAATAATATACTTATATATCATATTAAACATGCATTATGCAAGAGCAAAATCTGCTTATTACCAGTCTTTCTTTAGGCCTGAAATGTTATCTAAATTATCAATTAGACATTAATTAACTTATCCAGACCATAATAAACTCTCGATGTCAAGGCTAGCCTTCGATGTAGGCTGGATTAGATTCCTATATGCCGCTAACGGCCAAAGATAATTAAATCAGAAAAAGTGGATAATCGAGACTATGCTGTTTATATTAATGATTTTAGTAATGATAACCGAGACTATGCAAAAATTTCACCGGCTTCTTTCTCGGCTCAGAGTGGATCAATTTGACTGAAATTTTCAGCAAATTACCTTTACACTATCTAGTTTTTAACTATTATAGCGAGAACTGCCATCTCTTTATCTTATCTCCCATAATGTATCTTTAAACAAGAATCCCATGCACAAAACAAAATATTTTACTGAATTGACCGATGGAAGAAAGGCATCGGATATAAGGGCTCTTTACCACCGTATGATATAGGCCATTGTTAGAATAACCATTTTTTGTTGTAATCTTGCATTAAAACCATTGCGTCGGAGACTTCGCTGGTCCCGATTTTGTCATGAGCCCAGGGTAGGCTTGGTTTCTGAAAGCTAGCCCCAGTGAAGTGGTTGTGTACGAGGTAGGGTATACTTAGTCTTTCTAGAACACCTGGTACCGCTTTTTATTTGTGGAAATGACATATTTCTGTTATACCTTTGCCTAGTCTTTTTTATATCCATGACCACGTGCGCTATGGCAGGGGCATTTTATCTGCATAGCGGCATCTCCATACAGTTACCTCCCATTCCTCTTCTGTCAAAGTATCCATCTAATGCATGTGCCATACAGTATGCTATGAGGGAATATATCCCGGACATTGGCTTATTCTTATATCGAATTTCAACTCCCAATGGATTTTTTACGTACACGTCAATGTGTACACGTTACCTCGGTTTGTCGTCCTATCTGAACGACTATACGTTGTTCTTTGCCAGACCCTCTGTCCTGCACATGTCCCGCACAATTGGCAAAGGGAAAACACGTCGGAAAATCCCAATGAACTTTCTCGGCCAATACCAGGATCGAACACGGGACCTCCAGGTAAGCAAGCCAATGGCTTACTCACTTAGCCACCTCGGCACCCTTCCCAATAACAAATCCAGCAAGTTCTGCTCGATTCTATATGTTAGTTCATTTGTGTAATCGTCCCATCCCGTATATAAACTTCTTGTCATATGTAGGATCAAATATATTCATTTTTATTGTATATCATTAAAACGACATTTTTAAGTTTTATTTTTTTTGATAATCCGTCTGTGTCAAATAACCAAGTAAATTATGCCCCTTTCGTGGACTCACAATCAGCATCCCATCGGATCGAACATTAAAATGCACCTTGATATCGTTGCCTTCTAATAGGTTCATCAAATATATATAAACACCCGAAACAGCAGGTTAAAATCATAGCATGCACACATCCGCCCCAATTCGCGAAGCCAGTTGTAGGCAAACAGCGTAATTTTAGTATGACGCTAAATTTAGAAACATCAGGACATATAATCTAGAAAGCGCCATTTACGGTCAGTTTTTCAAAAAACCCGCGAGGTTGGACAGGCGACCCTACTCCTTGTCACGTACAACCGGGGATTCGAAACCACGCAAGTTGGCTCAATGACAGGCCTTTTGATAAAGCACACACGTGCTAACCATTCGGTCATCCACTCCCCACCCCCGTTACGATAGAGTTGTCCCTATTCAGGGCCGGCGGAAGCAATTCTTGATGGGGGGGGGGGCTTCCATCCTAGGTCCTTATAGGCAATAACCTGGAGAAAAGAGTACTTGCGGCCAAATTATTGGGGGGGGGGGGCTAAACCCCAACTCCGCCGGGCCTGCTTTAGTCAACGATATAGTACATGCCGAAACGCTCGGATACGTTTCGATACGATCAACACGATTGTTATGGCTTACCACAATATATATTAAAATCACCACGATTACCCCACGATTAAAACCACGATTTCAATCGTAGCGCAAATCTTGATAGTGGGAACCTAGCATAACCAACTTCATTGTATGGACACGTTTGGGTACACTTTGTTACAGACACGCCAAATCAATATATTCTATTTATGTCTACATTCTCTATATTTGATAGTTTTATCTCTAAAACCGTTGTAAAATCACAGTTGGTTAATTCAGTCAAGGAATAGAGCATATCTCCTAATACCCACATGTGAGGAGACTGTAAATGTCGTGAACATCGATACATCAAGAACGATCTTAAAAACAGTGAATTAGAAATGAAATGAAATACGGTTCTGATCCGACTGGGGTAATGAAGACGAGCACACGTCATGCAGTGTGCTATATATGAGGGAAATTTTGCCCGGACAGCCGCTCTACGACCTACTCTTATATCGAATTCCAACTGTCAAGTGATCTTTTATGTGCACGTCAATGTATACACGGGACCTCGATTTTTCGTCCCATTCAAACGTCTTTACGTTGTCCCTTACCAGGTCCTCTGTCTTGCACCACTGGCAAGGGAAAACCTACTGTGTAGTACTATCGGACTTCCTTGTTGTGTTTTGTTTTCTTCGTGATTGTAATATACAACACTACAGGTTAAATGGTTCCTACAACTTTATTGTTAAGCTGGGATGGCTTCGAAGGTACCTCGTTGTCAATAAATAATACCGGCTTGGAATACCTGGTGAGCTCTGACCAGTCTCGCTCAACACCCTCCTTTATAACCCCCTAATTTATGTGCGTCCTAGATTAACCTTGACGTTAATTTCCATCCCAAATATGGAATAAACCTCCCAATTTCCCAAGACCAGTGGGAAGAACATTACCTTATTTGGTCTACCAACCATAGGTCAATAAACAGATAGAATTTGATGGATATCTTGACAATGGTTAGGATTTTACCAAAATATCACTGTTTTTTTTTACATATAAACATGTCGTCAGCTTTTATTAGTGCGTGGGATTTGACTCTATAGAAAGAGTGAAGCAACAATTTTTCAAGGACCCAATATTGTCTTAAGGACCAAAGTGTTACAACTGAATTTGTTGTTCTATTGGTTATATACTGACCTCCATAGTTTGAAACTGTACGAGTTGACCATTCTGCCAAAAATATATCACAGAATAAACTAAGGTAGTTAATCCATTAAAAGCGTTAGCTACAACTAGAAAATGAAAACCGTCAACTGTAAAATGTGTCCAATCGTAGGCACCAATGGTGGGTATCGTTTGTTTCTCTTCAAATTGCTTCTTCTCTTTATTCCATTGATAAATACTAGATTCTACGTCATTGTTATCACCTGAATATATATTAAAACATGAAATGAAATGGGGTTTAACGTCCTACTGTTCTGCTCTGACTGGGTTAATGAAGACGGGCATACGCCATACAGTGTGCTATGTGGGAAATTTTGCCCGGACAGCGGCACTAGTGTTGATGGAACAGTTCAGATACTTTAAATATATCAATAATTAAAACCGGAACCAATCTCATTAAAACACAGATCCTATTTCGTTTCGTTTTTTATAGTTCAAGATTTCGTTTTACTTGTCTTTACTACATTAGGTTCTGGAAGACTTGTTATATAACCCGCGTTCTGGGTGATGTAAGAGATTAGCCAATGAAACGGACTGTTACGGCGAGTTCTTGGCGTGCGTTGCACGGAATTGTGGGTATCCCAGTCAGTAAAAACATGAACGCTGATTAGTTATAAAAAAGTCTGACGTCAAACGATCAAAAGCCACTCGTTTGACCCCTGGCGCGACCTTTACTGTAGTGAAGGCCATCGAAAGTATAAAAAACGAAACGAAATATAGATCTATAATTTAATCAGATTGAACCGGGACAGATTAACTGATCGACTTTTTAGTTTTACAAAGATTGGAATTGAAATAAAATGGTGTTTAACATCCTACTGTTCTGCACCGAGAGGGCTAATGAAGACGGCCATGCTCCATGCAGTGTGCTATGGGAAACATTTGGCCCGGACTGTGGCACTACGGCTTACTCGTATATCTAATTCCAACTATCAAGGGTTCTTTTACTGCCACACCAAACGACTATATGTTGTCTTTTGCCAGGTCATTCGTCCTACACCACTTTTAAACGGGGAACCACGCCGGAAAATAATGATGAACTTTCTCAGCCAACACGGGACCTTCAGGTTAGCGAGCCAACGTCTTACTCACGGGGGGGGGGGGCCGAATGGTTAGCACGTGCGTGCTGTATCACACGGCCCGTCATTGAGTCAACTGGCGTGGTTTCGAACCCCCGGTTGTACGTGACAAGGAGTAGGGTCGCCTGTACGACCTCGTGGGTTTTCTCCGGGTCCTCCGGTTTCCTCCCACTGCTAAAGCTAAAGACCCCTATGCGCAAGGGAATTATTGAAATAAAATTAAACCATATGTTAGTCCCAAAATGACCTAGTTTGTGACGAGTGGACGTTAAATCCCATCTCTCTCTCTCTCTCTCTCTCTCTCTCTCTCTTACTCACAGATAAGATTGGTAATTAAAAGAGATTGTACCTTCAGCATGATTAGCCACAGCTAAATAATGATCTCCGTCTATTTCAAAATATTCAAAATCTCGAGCCGTCCATGTTAGAATTTCCTGGTAAGGTTTGAATTTCTTTCTCCTCCTATGCCAGCGGAATATTGTCGAATTATTCTGTTTGGATGTGGAGTTACCGTAGTTGGCCACTGCAAGGAAAAACTGAAATTAGATAAATTCTGAATAAACTCCCCAGTTCTAGGGGTTCTTATCTGAAGGCAGATATAACAGTAATTTAATTATGTTCATGTATAATATTTACAGGGAAGCGGTCACAGGGTATTTCCCAATTGACTTTAGTATTAATTGTCGTTTTCTTGACCGGCTCCAACAATTTTCGTTAACTGGGACCAGGGACTAAGTGAGAGCTTTTGCGCCCCTCGCAAATGGCAAGGAATCACGCGGTTTCAATGCGGTTTTTAACATTATAATCACTTAACCAGTGCAAACATATACCGTGGGTCAGATATGCTACAAATCGACTCTAGCAATATCCAACACAACCCAATATTACTCCCAATATTACCGCACACACATATAAATATTGTTGTTGGGTTTTTTTTTGGGGGGGGGGGGGGTTGGGGGGGGGACCAGACGGGATCTTGTTCCTCGTGTAAAATCATGGATTACCACGCCCCTGACCAGGACGCTCTCATGTCTTGTTCCAAAGCTTATATGGGATTTACCATGGAAATGTTGAGCCCCACGTGTTTCCCCTGGTGAAAGCAGACCACCATTAAATTTCACCATCTCGGTACAAATTGTAGTTGGTCTATTTATAGCAATTATCTCTCTGTCTCTTTTCTCCCCTTTTGCATCCCCATTTTTGTTGATTTTTTGGTCTAGAATGGACGAAGAGGGCTTGAATTCACATTTTCTGCCAGGTTTTGGTAAATATTCATGATTTTGAGGCGGAAGGTTAACGGGGTTATCAGGTTGACTTCGGTGATATGTACAGCAACTAGTTACATGTTTTTAGTATGCTTCTTCAAGTTTGTGTATTTCAAAATTTTGGTGGTCAACCTCATACAAATTTTAGTGCAAAGACATGACCATTTGTTCCTCTGTCTGTAGTGAAAAGCATTCAGCCCAACGAAAATTTGGGGAAAAGTTGGAGGTGGGCAAAGAGGCCAGAATTAACATTGAAGTCAATGGGGAAATTAATGGTGGTCTGCCTCCTGGTGGCAATTCACGATTATCTCCCTTTAAATGTACTCGCGTCTATCGGCAATACAAATATTGGAATGGATAAAATGAGGTTTAACGTCCCATTTTTCTCCTTGTCTGCGATATCACCTCAGTGGAAGCGGACGTTAAATAAAGCTATTTCACACACACACACTTTTCTGCTCCAACTGAGCTAATGAAGACGCCATAGGGTGTGCTATGAGGAAAATTTTGCATAGACAGCAACTTTCAAGGGTTATTTTACGTGCACACCAAAGTGTACACACAACCAGGGTCAGATCCACCTTCCTGTATCACTGACAAGAGGGAATCACAATGGAAGACTTTCTCGACCAACACGGGGATCGACCCAGGGACTTCCAGGTTAGTAAGTCAACGCCTTACCCACTGAGCCACCACGGCTCCCACCGGCATTTGTCTGCGTTATGAAAGTTTGCCGCCCGATCTCACCCCCGCCCTCCTTGACCAATCGCGAAAACGCAACACAATACCCATCAAACAAATCTAATATTTAAACAGTATTTACATGGAAAAATAAGATCGTGCCAGGCATTTTATACATGTATTGAAAAACGCCTTTATTTTGCACTGCAGTAGACCATAAATGCCCCTTCGGTTAGTGCTAAATGATAAGGCCAGCTCAAATTTCGTCATAGATCACGAGATTTAAACAGGGCTAGCGCTAATCCCAACCCTAACCCTGGACCTAGCCCCAATGCTTACCCTAACCTTAACCTACAATCACGTGCCCTAACCTTATTTACATCTCAGCGACCTTGACAAAAATTGCGCTGGCCTTAACAAATAGATTTAGCCATGCCCTTACCCAAAAAGGTGGACCAGGGGAGTCTACAAGGTGGATCATGATAGTACCACCCCCTCGCCCCACTCCAACTACGCTACAGAGCTAAAATATCAATCGAAAACACCCTTTACCTGATTTTTTATTTGAAAAAATTCACAGGATTGTGCTGACTCTGTGGATAGTTTCTGGTAAAATTCAAATCTTCCATCGATCCATTTAAATATAACAGAATGTCCCGAGGAGTCGTCACCGCCGCCATTATTAGCAAATGCTGCAAACATGCCTTCCCCTGGTAGATGAAATACTGTGACGTCAATAGAAGCACTGGGTGTGGTCAATGTTTGATATTCTAATACATAGTCTAAACGATATTTCTCTGTAAATAGCGAGAGCAAAAAAAAAACAGTTCATTGAGGGACTAACAAATAGTTCACTTTTATTTCAATAATTCGCTTGCGCGCATAGAGGTCCTGAACAGTTGCGGGAAACCGGATGACCCGGGAAAAACCCACTCCTTGCCACGTACAACCGGGGAATCGAAACCACGCCAGTTGACTCAATGACAGACCTTATGATACAACGCGCATGCGCTAACCAGGGGCGGACTTACTGGCAATCAACCAAGTAACCAACCGACTCGTTTCAGAGTAAATTACGATTTCCAACCTAAACTGACTGTTAATTCCTTTCCCACGAGAATATATGGCGGTACAAAATAATTGTTCGCCACCGCCACCCCCACCCCCGGATCCGCGCCTGCAGAACAATGGTTACAGTAAGTAATGCTTCGGTGACATAAATTTGGCGCATGGATTTCGAAATAGAACATGACTTCCAAATTATTCTTACTTCAGCGTCTGTGCCACTTTAACGAAGCAGTGTGTCCGTGTCCTTCGTTGTATGTGTAGTACGAATTATAAGATCCCAATTAGGTTGGTTGTTATGACAGCAAGATAACATACCAGTTTCTACAGTAACTTCTTGCCATATTCCATTCACACAAACTTTAATTTTCTGAGTATAAACATCAAAGGCCAAATTACCAACATCCAGCCATGTACATACACTACCACGTGGCCAATATGACGTCATCGGACTTTCTAAAAGTAAAAGAAAATTCCTGCATAAAGAAATAAGTTTTAGCTTGTTTCCTAATGATGTTGCAAAATAACCTATTTTTACTGATGTAAAAAATTAACAAATTCTTAATGTTGCAGATAAATAGTTTATTCTTATTTTTGTATTGAAATAACGAATTCTTACTGTTGTGTCGAAATAATGAATTCTTACTGTTGTGTCGAAATAATGAATTCTTACTGTTGTATCGAAATAATGAATTGTTGCTGCTGTAGCGCAACAACGAATTCTTGCTGTTGTAGCGAAATAGCCTATTCTTGCTGTTGTAGCGAAATAGCCTATTCTTGCTGTTGTAGCGAAATAGCCTATTCTTACTGTTGTCTTGAAATTACAAATTTTTACTGTTGTATGTACATGTATTAGTAATAATGCATTCTTACTGTTGTATCGAAATAATGAATTCTTACTGCTGTAGCGAAATAACGAATTCCTACTGTTGTGTCGAAAGAGCTTATTCTTACTGTATAACGAATTCTTGCTGTTGTAGCGAAATAGCCTATTCTTGCTGTTGTGGCAAAATAGCCTATTCTTACTGTTGTCTTGAAATTACGAATTCTTACTGTTGTGTCGAAATAATGAATTCTTACTATCGTATCGAAATAATGAATTCTTGCTGCTGTAGCCAAATAACGAATTCTTACTGGTGTATCGAAATAGCCTATTCTTACTGTATAACGAATTCTTGCTGTTGTTGCGAAATAGCCTTTTCTTGCTGTTGTAGCGAAATAGCATATTCTTACTGTTGTCGTGAAATTACGAATTCTTACTGTTGTATCGAAATAATGAATTCTTACTGTTGTATCGAAATAATGAATTCTTACTGTTGTATCGAAATAACGAATTCTTACTGTTGTATCGAAATAGCTTTTTCTTAATGTTGTAACGAAATAACGTATTCTTAATGTTGTATCGAAATGACAAATTCTTGTGGTATTTGTATTTTATGTTTTAATGTTTATTTGTACCTGGTACCATAGGTATCCTGTTGTCCATTTCATTATAAGATGGCGGACGGGGAGGACATGCACGAACTGCGGCATCTGCTCCTGGGACAAAAATAACATCTTTCAGCAAACCCTACAAAACAAAAGAAAATCTTTTTAATTGACACAGGAGTCAACTCGTTTACCTCGTTGACACAGAGCAATAGAGTAGTTGCCAAGAAAATTGTACTTTTGGACCCGGAACTTGTAACTAACTGCTACTTATCTTGTTGTTCTTGGGGTGACGCTCTTCTAAAAAGCCCAAGGCTCCGTCAATTCAAGTCCGATCGACATGAAAAGTGGCATGCTTCTTTTTTGAACAGTTCTGCATCGATTTGGTGAATTAGAGAACGATCGTACTTGTTATACAAAGACGGCCTACCATTTGAAAGCATGAGGCCACTCGGTAAACCTCAGCAGATTCCAGTACCCTACATCTAGCCTCGGCTGTATGACGAAGTCCGCCATTGGAACTACTTTCAAGTTCCCAGATTACCAACAGCGTTGCCCATGACGACGCCTTTTAAGAATGTTTTATCATACAAATATTTCAAAGTCTGAAGCAATTCATAGACTCTACTATGGGGTACCCGGTTAACACTTCTTTTGGAGGAAGTTGACATGGCAATGTTAGTGATTTATACGGACTAGGACGACCGTGGTAAGAGAGAGAGAGAGAGAGAGAGACAGAGACAGAGACGGAGAGAGAGAAATGGGGTTTCACGTCCACTCGACACAAACTAGGTCATTTCGGGACTAACATATGTTTTTTTTAAATTTTATTTCAATAATTCGCTTGCGCGTAGGGGTCTTTAGCAGTGGGAGGAAACCGGAGGACCCGGAGAAAACCCACGAGGTTGGGTTGGACAGGCGACCCTACTCCTTGTCACGGACCGTGGTAAGAATAAATAGGTTAAATTAAAATTACCTGGAACATGGTATGTTTGGAATGACATCTTGCAATACTGAATATTCTATTATTCACAGACAGAAGAGCCGGGAATTGCCTTCTTAATTTTTTCGATTTCTCCATTCGGCAGTCGATTGTCATGGCAACATTTTTGCCCGACACACTGAAACCAATCGTATGCCAATAAGAGTCATCGATAATGGAAGATTTAAATTTAATTGTCTGATTTTGATATCTAAATAAAATTCTTGTTTTTGAAAATGACACAGAAATGACGTCAGAATTAGTCTCTTCATCCACTAGAGAAAGCAAGCATTCGCGTCGGGCAGGTTTCACTTTGTACTGGTAAACAAAGAAAAAGGAAAATTCCTCAGGAAATATGTTACATCGCTTGAATATATTTTTAGAGGGAAAGTGCAGCTCGTGTGCCTCGTTTGAAAATCCGAATGCATGCACGTGACTTTCTGGGTCATACGTGACACTAACGCCATCTGGTAAATCTTGTATTGTTGGAACTGCTTCTTTGATTAGATCTATCGGAGTCAAATCTGAAATAAAGGAAAATTGTTTTACAATTAGTGGTTAATAATAAATTACTCTTCCACAAATACGACACTTCATGATAAGCAGAGCGATAGCACAACAAAATTGGAAAATCTGATTTCTACGCATTAAAATACAGATCTATATTTCGTTTCGTTTTGTATGCTTTCGATGGCCTAGACTACATGAAGATCTGGCCAGTTGTAATGGGAGGTCGCGTCAGAGGTCATACAAGCGGTTTTTGATCCGATGACGTCAGACATTAATTAATCAACCAACGTTGATGTTTCTAGTGGTTTACCCACAGTTCCATGCACAGTACGCCAAGAACTCGCTGTAACAGACCGCTTCATTGGCTAATCACTCACATTAACCAGAACGTAACTTATATAACAACTCTTCCAGATCCTAGGGTAGTGAAGACAAGAAAAACGAAAATTTGAACTATAAAAAACGAAACGAAATATGATCTGTGGTGAAGACAAGTAAAACGAAATTGTGAACTATAAAAAACGAAACGAAATATGATATGTATTTTAATCAGATTGAAGGTTGGTTAAGGAAATTAAAGCCTTTGGTCGTCATTTCAGTGATTTCGAATCTTTTTCAAATTAGAATTTGTTAAAGTTTAATCTTTAAAAATACTATCAGTCCACCAATGGTTCAATTCCGCGTTCAGTATATTACCATGATATAAGGAATTGAAAATTTCAAAACTTTTAGCATCCTCTGCAGACGATATTAAGCGCCACCTTTACGTGATGGGTAAAATATTTTAATGCAATGGGTCTCTTTTTAATACGATTGAATCCAAGTCAAGGGAGATTATCTCCCGTTCATAGCTTAGTTTTGTTTTCTTAATCAAATGTTGAATAATCAATTACATTTTAGCGTGGATTAAGTAAGGAAAAATAAGATATTGCCCGAAAATGCAAATCGATGAGTGGCTTTAAGTTTAGGCCACGCCAATTAAAAATTTTGTTCTTCGGGAAAACCTATTAAAATTTGCTTCCTATTTCTCGGGGAAAATAAAATAATTTAAAACAAAGAAATATTTGATTGATTTACTCAAAAGCTTTCAGTTTTGAAAATTTAAATTAGAATCGATTGAATTGAATAATACTTAATTATCAGATAATGCAAAAAGAATATGCCGAAAATTTCAGACAAATTATTTTACTCTGAACCGAGATATTTAGGCTAGGCTCAAACATCATTACTAACTTTGCTGTGTTTTTTTTACAATAACTGTTATCCATCACAAAATGTATTCAAATCCACTAAATATCGCTGGCATCGAGAGTTGATTATAGTCTGGATAAGTTAATTAATGTCTAATTTATAATTTAGATAACATTTAAGGCCTAAGGAAAAACCAAAAATAGGCAGATTTAGATCTTGCATAATGCATGTTTAATAATATATTACTGCTACCATTAACTACGTATAAATATGTACAAATACATACGAGACAACTTTCTGTCGGACTATCATTTGATCCTTGGTTAATCCGTCTTAATAGACTTACCTGGACTGATCGCATACATGACCAACAAGAGAACTCGCCCATTATTTAATATGGAGGATCATTCATTGTATTTAACATGGCCGTGTGAAGTCATGGAAACAAGTTAGTGAGAATCATGGGTGGAGGGATTTAGTCCGGGTTGTCGTACCTCCTTCTTTTACCACCCCCACCTCCTATACATATCGACTCTTATAATCGTCACGTTCCATACATTAGTTAACTTGAAAGGTTTGCGGCTTAATTTCGCCGCATTGGGGTGTTTTTATCGACCGCACACATCTTGTCGGCTAACTGTCTGATCATATTAGATGCATGTCTTTAGTTACGGCTGCTCTGAAAGAAACAGGCTACCATCACAATCAGTTCTATTTCTGAAATTCAATTATCTATTTGAGTTGAAGAAATTAACTTCAAAGCGATGAAAAATCACCGTATGTTTCAGTTTGGGTTATTTTATCATGAATTGTCCCCAGACCTTTTCTTACTGGTATTCTGGCGAAGTTCATAATTTTAAAAAAATTGTACGATAAGAAAACACATCAGAAATATGTTTTTTAGTGGCTGATGTAAAATCCCTCTTCAAGAGTTTTATATGAATATGCATATAGAACAAGCACATCATATGAACCGGGACCCGAACATGACATCATCGCAGTAACCTTGGAGACTCACAATCGATGTGCAGTTGGCTAAGGAACAACTATTTCAAATTTCATTTCGATCGTACTCGAACTGGCTGAGCCTTAGGGTTGTTAGTTTTTTTCGGGTGTGGGGTGGGAAGGGGGTTGAAGAACGCCACCCCAGGAACAACATGTGCATGCAACCAGTTTCTGTTTCAAAAAACAAGGGAGCCAGAGTGGCCCGGTTTGAATGGCACTGAATTCCTAACCCGAAGGTCCAGGGCGTTGGCTGAACAAGTTCCTCGAAGCTAATTTCCTATTGTCAGTGGTGCATGACGGGTGGTCAGGTAAGAAGAAACATCTAGTTGTTCGGGTGGGAATATAAACACATGTAATGTGTATGTCACTGGAAGCACGTTAAAGATCCCTTGATAGTTTAAATCGATATATGAATAGACCGTAGCCCAAAGTTTATCTCGTAGGACGATAAACCCCATTGGCCATTTTATTTAATTTCATTTAAGAAAACTAAATATATCATGTTTTTGAATTCGAGGAGGGGGGGGGGGCGAATGGTTAGCAATTGCGCGCTGTATCATAAGGTCTGTCATTGAGTCAACTGGCGTGGTTTCGATTCCCTGGTTGTGCGTGACACGGAGTAGAGTCGCCTGTAAAACCTCGTGGGTTTTCTTCGGGTCTCCCGGTTTCCTCCCACTGCTAAAGACTCTACGCGCAAGCGAATTATTAAAATAATATTGAACCATATGTTAGTCTCTCTCTCTCTCTCTCTCTCTCTCTCTCTCTCGCTCTCTCTCTCTGGCTCGCTCTTTCTCTCTTTTGTTGAATTTGAAATAAGAGTAGGAAGTAGTGCCTCTTTCCCTCATAGTACACTATATGGGTATGTTTGTCTCCATTAGCCCAGGGGGGGTGGATGGCTGAATGGTTAGCGTGCGCGCTGTATCATAAAGTCTGTCATTGAGTCGACTGGCGTGGTTTCGAATCCCCGGTTGTACGTGACAAGGAGTAGGGTCGCCTGTCCAACCTCGTGGGTTTTCTCCGGGTCCTCCGGTTTCCTCCCACTGCTAAAGACCCCTATGCGCAAGCGAATTATTGAAATAAAATTAAACCATATGTTAGTCCCGAAATGACCTAGTTTGTGTCGAGTGGACGTTAAACCCCATTTCTCTCTCTCTCTCTCCATTAGCCCAGTCGGCGCAGAACAGTACGACGTTAAACCCCGTTTCATTTTAATTAATTTGTTGTATGTTATGAATGAAGGTTAGAAGGTTGTATGTTTGTTAAATAAGAAATAGGCGGGGACCAGGCATTAACAATAATTAAACAGCAAGTGGGAGAATTTCTTACTTGTTTGTCCCTTAATTGAAACGCGACAAGATAATTAGAAGACAAAACAGGCTTGAACTAGTCGTAAACTAACAGCTAATCACAGAGCAGACATTTTAAAAGGAATTCCTCACAACACACACGCACCTTAGACAACGTAAGTAAATGAAATGAGTCAATAAACTGAGGGGTCAAAGGTTAAAGTTCACCACCTATTTTCAAGTCGAAAATATAACAAATTAAAGAGGCATTAGCGAGTTTAGGGTCATTGTCTGTTGTTTTAAAAAAATTGACGTGTGTACTAATTTAAGACGAATCTGCAAAACTGTGATTTTCAAGTTTAGGCAACTTATTTGACTAAGTATTCCAGCGTTTTGGTTTTCGATAATTCGACCCGTCTAAGGTTGGTTTGAAAATGTCATATGACTTTTCAAAATTTAACCGCCGCAAATGCGTTGTACAATGGTTTTGCAACCGAAATGCCACTCTATGCCGACCTGAATTCCAACCATCCAATAATAATAATCGATGCCTGAAAAATGTCGCACAAGTAGAGTAACTCTAGACAAAAATGTTATAATCCATAGTCAATTCAGTACAAATTCGTGGTATTCAATTAAAATTAGCGGTTTATTAGATTTCGGACTTTATTTTGCCGACTAGATGATATACTAAAAGTTTTTTCACTTTACCCATCTTCCCGAAAAGTCAGATTGCCCGACAGTTAGAGGGCAGATGCCCCCCCCACACACACACACACACACACACGCCCCCTGGCTCGTAAGCCTATAGTATTAAATGGGACTTATTTGTTCTACGAGTCATATTATTAAACGTTGAGTTTCATTTGATAATGTGTTTCATTCATAACGTTGAGTTTAGTTTGATAACGTTGAGTTTAGTTTGATAACGTTGTTTCTTTTGGTAACGTTGAATTTCGTTTGGTAACGTTGTGTTTCATTTGTAATGTGTTTCATTCATAACGTTGTGTTTCATTCATAACGTTAAGTTTTGGTCGATAACGTTGAGTTTAGTTTGATAACGTTGAGTTTAGTTTGATAACGTTGAGTTTCGTATGATACCATTGTTTGGTAGTATTGAGTTTTGTCTGATAACGTTAGCTTCTGTTTGATAACGAAAAGTACAGCTAGGTCTGTGAGGACGGTTTCTATAATTTCGATTTGGGGACAAACGTTATTTGATCTCCTATGGAAGTCAAAATTTCTGATTGTCTATAAACGATACATTGACACTGTTGTGAATATTTCTTCAGTTCCAATAGTTTTCCTCAAAAAAATTGTAAAGCGTTGTCTCACTATATATAAACTATGAATCCCTGGTTCGGTGTTTGTTTATTATTGTACTTTACGCTAACAACCATTTGATTAAAATAAAGATATTTCGTTTCGTTTTTTTTATACTTTCGATGGCCTCCACTAATGTAGTAAAGACAAGTACAACGAAATGTTGAACTATAAAAAACGAAACGAAAAGGAACAGCCTCTGTGTTTTAATCAGACTGGGCTAATAACTCTTATTGTACTTGATGCGAACAATTTTCGTTGTAATTTTTGCGAACAATTTCCGTTGTACTCTATGTAAATAATTTTGTACTTTGCGTGAACATTATTCATTGTACGTTTCGCGAATGATTTTGTTGTACTTTATGCGAACAATTTTCGTTACATTTGGCGTAAACCGTTTTCGCTGTGTTTTATGCGAAAACTTTGCGTTGTAATTTACGCGAACAATTCGCTGTGTTTTCTGCAAACAATTTCCGTAGTACTCTGTGCAAATAAATTTGTACTTTACGAGAACAATTTTTATTGTACTACGGAATTATTATTGTACTTTTCGCAAACAATTTTCAAGATACTTTCTGGCAAATATTTCTTACTAGTCTATACAAACTGTTTGGTACGAGAACCATTTGCGTAGTACTTTATGGAAACAATTTCGTAATTTGCTTAGTGCTCCTTGCGAATAATTTTCGTTGGACGTTATGCGTACAACTTTCGTTATACAATTGTATTTCTACGTCCCTTTAAGTGTGTATTTTACGTCCGCTTCCATCGAGGTGATATCGCAGACAAGGTCCCTTTAAGACCGGATGCCGTCTGTAAGACAGACACTAATTCAACATACACCATTAAAACCAACTGGGTTATAAAAACTCGTAGAACAGCGATAATTACTTTCTTAAACAAATCTTCCCATGTTCGCTATTCACAACTGAGTTCACCATTTTTTTTTTATTAGTTGGACAAAGAAAGAACAAATTAGCAACATGGTCTCGACGAAAGATGACAATGCACATCAAAGCATACCGGAATTTGGTGTTAAGCTGTGGTTACTATGGACTAATAGCTCCACCTATCGGTGGGTTATTGGATTGCGGTTTCGTGTTTTCAATAAAAAAAAAATCTACCCATCCAGACGAGCGGGTAAATAATATACATTGAAGATACGTTTCACACTCTTGAAATAAAATAAAGTGAAATAAAACGAATTAATTGCCCGTTATTGTCATGTTCGTGAATTGAATCACCTCGGTTAGAGATTGCGTCTTTTATTTAATATTTGGTGGTAATATTTGTCTCGCACAAAAAAAAAATTCTCCCGCGGCCCCGACTGGCTATCTCAATTATCTCACGGGACTCTTAGTTAATTGTAGAATCTTTACTATGGTACTGTTCCCTTCCACAAGATGACCAACGTGGATACTGATCTCTTTACGTGACCAATGTCGTACTTATTTAAGGATAGTCTATCGTAACCAGTCGTCAAAATTCAGTGGGCGAGTTATGGATCACTAATCAGGAGGTACCGGGTTCGATCCCAGAGTCGCCGAGTAAGCTCCTCAAGATTTTCCAAACTGATTTCTTGCCACCAAGGAAAAGCACCTGCTTAGTCGTTCGGCTGGATCAAAAGACCCGAGCATATCATTGGCAAAATGTTCAAGACCCCCTTGCAGTTAGATATCGATATAAGAGAAGGCTGTCACAACGCTGTCAGGGCAAAATTTCTTTTGTAGTACATGCACGTCTTCATTATCCCGGTTGGTGCAGAAACGTGGGACGTAAAACCCTATTTCATTATTTACGAATACACTAATAGAACACCTCTTTATATAAAGACCTGGGGATCCGGGGTGGGCTACTGAGTAAGGCAGTGGCTCACTAACTAGGGGATCCGCGGTGGCCTAGTGAGTAAGGTGGTGGCTCACTAACCAGGGGATCCTGGGTGGTCCACTACCCAGGGAATCCGTGGGTTCGATCCCAGTGTTGGCTAAGAAAGTTTTTCGGGATATTCCAGTGCGGTTTCCCCATGTCAGTGGTGCAGGACGGTGGCCAGTGGGCCTGGCAACAACAGTGTATAGGCGTTCGGATGGGATAAAAAAAACGAAGTACATATATACATACTGGCGTGTACGTAAAAGAACCCATGACAGTTGGATTTCGAAATAATGAGTAGATCTTAGTGATGCTATCCGGGCAAAATTTCACCTCAAAGCACACTGCATAGCGTTCGCCCGTCTTCATTAGCCCAGTCGGTGCAGAAAGTAGGACGTTAACCCCCATTTCATTTATATATAGACCTATGCTATGCCTATATAATTAATAGACGGCGGTAGAAGATCAAAGAATATACTTAACATCTTTTGAAGTATAGAATTTACTTACGTATAGATTAACGTTCTATACTAAATATAGACTACGGTGTCACTTTCTTTGTTGCTATCGCTAGTTAAATAGCAGATCCTATGACATTTTGAGACGGATCAAGTCTTAAAGTAAAAAGCTACACGGGCTATTCAATAAGTTAATTACATGATAACATCCAGTTAATTTGAGTGAACCGATTGATATCAGACTAAAACACGTTTAAACTGTCACCATATATCATTGGGCTGACATTCGACTAACCGAGGATAATTCTACACCCGATTATAATAATCACAGACTAGGATATATATATATATATATGTTTTCTTGGTGTGACCAATACGAATAGTTCACTAGAATCGATCCTACTAAAAGTACAGACTAGGTGGTGGTGGGGGTGGGGGGGGGGGGGCTTTATTCTTTTAAATATTCAATAAAATGAAATGGGGTTTAATGTTCTACTTTTTGCACAGACAGGGTAAATGAAGACGGACATGCGCCATACAGTGTGCTACGAGGGAAATTTGGTCGGACAGCGGCGCTACGACATATACCTACACCATACAGCACTACGGCCTAACTTTATTTCGAATTTCAACTGTCAAGTTTTCCGTTACATGCACGCCAATACGATCCGAACGACGATACGTTGCCATTTATTCAAAAGGTGGAAAGTAAAATCTGTGAGCAATACGGATTAAAAAAACGGGGTTCGGTGTAAGTGTGTGTGTGTGTGTGGAAGGGGTGGGGTGGGTGTTGGGGGCTAGTATTTACAGAAATCTGATGAATTAAAATAAATTAAACATACCGACATCCTGCGCAGACGAGATATGGCTGAAACAAGCCAGCGCCACCTATAATTTTAGCTAAAATCTTTTGATGGGCCTCTTTGTAATCCGATGGAACCGAAGTCGTATTGGTATTGTTTCCATAACTGATTTGAGTACATCTTACCAAGGATTTAACAGTGAAAATAAATATTGTCCGAAAAAAGAAAATGGCTATCAACGGCTTTAAGAATCAAACTAAGGAGAGTTCGTCTTATAATAGTGCGACTATCTGGAGTAAGACCGCTTCTGCGATATGACCCTTGGTGAAACAAGCAATTAATCCACACAAACGAAAGAACGTAAAACCGCAAGTCTGACATCAAAACAAAATGATTATATTAAAACGGGATCAGAATTTATGATACGATCGAGTATTAAATCAAACTCTGTGAAAATATTTAATATCCTTCACAGGTCACCGACTGAGCGATAAATTTTAATAACTTTGAAGAACTTTTAGAACTCTTGGCCCAACTATTGTTTTTTTTCTTTTATGTGAATTTTGGCCTTTGTAGTTGGCTGTAAGGCCTTTAGCTAAATAGATAAGATATCACTCGTTTTAAGATAAATAGATAAATAATATAACATTTTTACGACTTGGTGTTAAGTATTCGCCTTTTTTAAACAGTTGATCTGTTCTACAACTATCCTATTATTGCTGTTGATAACCAATACGAAACCTATGCTGTCTACAATAAGGTCCACTTAATAACAGACACGAGGCTGGTTGGCCGACATTCCCCAATTCGACGATTTTCGAGTCTTTTTAACTTATATTTGTATAATTATAAGGATTTATATGGCGCTATATTATTATTATTATTATTATTATTATTGTTCGATTTATATAGCGCTTCATTACACATATGTGTTTCTGAGTGCATTCACAACAAATCTCTGGATGGAAAAGGACTCTCGAAGAGTTTTTGGAAGATCATTCCACATTTTAGCTGCTGTGACGGAGAAATCATATTCACCAGAACGTTTATTATATTATTTATCTTCCACGTGTAAAATCCGCGAGATAAATACAAACATCTACATCGTATGTTGAAATAAAATGGATTTAAAAAGTCCTACGTTTCTGCTTCCTCCCGGCTAATTCGGTTTTTAAAATAATGATAATATTTTGTGGCATTACCTGTGCAGGGTCTGAAAATGTCTTTGTCTTGGTCACGTGTAGAACTAGAACCAAACAACATGGCCACAATAAACACCCTTGCTCTCACCCCTGATATCATATCTGAAACAAACGTTAATAATAAAAAAAAACACTTTTAACATCACATATTTTGACGGAAAACGTAAATAAAATGTGTGAGTCTTTATTGTTTATTATTTAAACAAAGAACCAGAATGTATTTATAGTTCATACAAGAAATGCACCCAGAATCATTTCCTTGTCATAATATACAGAAATAAAATGGAATCGGGTTTGATGTCCTGCCACCAACCAGGTTAATGAAGACGGGTATATGACACACAGTGTGTGACATGGGTAAAGTCTAAAAATTAGAGCCAAATGCAGATTTCGTCAAGGTCGCGAGATGTAAACTAGACTAGGGCACGCGATTGTTGTCGAGATTGTGGGTTAGAGTTAGGACAGGGGTAAGGGTAAGGGATAACCCTGTTTACATCTCGTGACCTTTGACCAAATCTGCAGAACGTATGAGGGAAATTTGAACCGAGCAGCCACGCTACCGACAACTTTTTGCAGAACTCCCACTGTCAAGAGTTTTTTTACCCGATACAACGTTTACACGGGACGTCGATTTCGCGTCCGAAACACTAGACGTTCTTCCTTGCGAGCCATTTGTCCTGCGCCAACTTTCCCGGCCAACATCGGGATCGAACACCCCCGCTTCTGTTGGTTGCCAGGCAGCTTCTAAATCAGTGAGGCACCGCGGCTCCAATAAATGGATGAAAAATTAAATGTCAAAATTAAAATGTCAATCTCGTCTTTCTAATGAATTATATACCGTTGGTTACTAAGCTGTCTAGTCGTTTGGATGGGACGAAAAACCAAGGTATACATTGGCGTGCACGTAAAAGATCCAGTGGCAGTTGGAATTCGACATAACAGTAGGCCGTAGCGCGGAGCAGAACAGTAGGACGTTAAACCTCAGATCATTTCATTTGATTTCATATCGTTTATCATGAAATAAAATCTATAGCCAATAAAAGGTGGCACTTTGTTGTGGGATTATCAGGGTCGGACTTACTACTAACTCATCAGTTGAAGATAACTGGGCTATACTTGGATTGCCGAATGGTTAGCACGTGCGCGCTGTATCATACGGTCTGTCATTGAGTCAACTGGTGGGGTTTCGATTCCCAGGTTGTACGTGACAAGAAGTAGGCTCGCCTGTCCACCCGGTTTCCTCCCACTGCTAGAGACGCCTAAGCGCAAACAAATTATTGAAATAAAATTGAACCATGTGTTAGTCCCGAAATGACCTAGTTTGTGTCGAGGGGACGCCCCGGACAGTGCGTGACAATTTAGTTTCAGTGGGCCCTCAGATACCCGTGGTGTCCCTATAGGTAAATCTAGCCCTGTGGATTATAGTATTTTCTATATTTTACTGAAAGTTCAACGAAGGGTTATAGCGGCATATTGGAAGAAACAGATTACAACGGTAAGTAAACGACTGTAATTAAAGATGAATAACGCCGATAGGAAGGCGTGACCTAAGTAATGAATGTTTATTAGTTATCGTCAACTCTTTGTTTTGGTCCCATGTTTACTCGATAGACCATCATATATTTAATGAAAATTTAATATAGTCTAGACAAAGGATTTCTCGACACTCTTGTCAGGCTTGGTTGATTCAAATCACTTTGATTTTAAACTAATTTAAACCACTTATAGTGAAAAAAAATGCACGACTTCGTCAAAAATACCTTAAAATAAAATTAGTAAGCTGTAAGGCGAGTATTAATAAAGCAATTATTTTTTATAAATCATATCATATAATCATAATTGTTTTCGATATATAGTTATTAAATTGGTTATTTCGACTTCAATGCAATTCACGACAATTATAGTCGTAGAAGAAAAAAAGGCCCCGGGATACGTCTACATTTATTATTTTATTAAATAAAACCTAGAAGATATTTTTTTAATAATTTAAAAGAACACCAGAGGATATAATCATGTCCCTTTCTGCTATCAGTAGGATATAATCATGTCCCTTTCTGCTATCAATTTATAGTTAGTCATTGAAAGAATATAATTTCCCCTTTGCTGTGTTGCTTTTGGCAAGAAATTACAAAATGAATGAATGAATGAATGATTGATTGAATGAATGAATGAATAAATGAATGAACTGGGGTTTAACGTCCTATTTTTCTTCAACATATCGTGTACTTAAACAGGCATTATTCAAGAGCGAGTCTTTCTTTGGGCCTTAAATGTTAGATGAATTATTAATTAGACATTAATTAACTTACAAAGACCATAATCTACTCCCGATGCAATCGGATGGCTCCGATATTAAGCAGATTTAAATACGTTTAGCGGTTGATGAAATAACCGTGAAAATATGGGGATCCTAATATCCAACAGTTAAGACACCGTGAGCATTTTGAAATCAGTACACGAGTCGTGTACTCTATGTTCTTTGGTACCATTTGTAATACACACTGCAAAACATATTCAACGCGAAAAAGCAGAAGTAATTATTTATGACTGATTCATAAACGACAAAATAATAATAATAACCCGCGTAGAATGGCATAACCAAGCGTAAACGACCGCAGTTCAATTTGGACTGTTCACGTATTTCACCGAACATAATCGATTAGAAATTACAATTATTTCTTTAAACATTGAATTTTTACCACTTTATACATGTATATTTCAAATTACATTAATATATGCCTTAGACCCATTCTCATCTATTTTAAACTTCCAGAGAATAGAGCTGTACACCCTTTAAGCCAGAATAAATGTTAAATATAGAGATTAAAATTTAAACAAAAAGTACTTTCATTTTAAAAAAAAAATGAGTTAAAGCTTGGATTGACATTTGGAATTCGAGGCGACCACGTCTCTGTCTGGGCAAAATGTCCCCTCATGACTCATAACATGGCGTATATCTGCACGTCTTTATTAACCCAGTTGGTGTAGAAAAGTAGGACGTTAAACCCCCCTTGTTTCAAACTCCTCTATACACACGGACATGATCTTTAATCCTTTGCATATCTACATCCAATCTATTGGTTGAAGGTTTTTAAAAATTAAATTATTTTGTTGCTTTTGTGATGTTGTACTTACTGCTGGAAACATTATTTCATTAATATTACCTTTTTTGTGATTATTACTTATTTGAGATTATTACTTATTTGGGATTATTATTTATTTGGGATTATTGCTTATTTGGGATTATTATTTATTTGAGGTTATTATTACTTATTTGGGATTATTACTTATTTGGGATTATTACTTATTTGAGATTATTATTTATTTGGGATTATTACTTATTTGGGATTATTACTTACTTTTGGGGGATTATTACTTATTTGGGATCATTAATTATTTGAGATTATTACAACTAATCGCCTTTTTTTCTTTGAATTCTAAAATTTAACTTTATTTAAAAGGAAGGTAAATAAATGAACTTCAAATACACTCTATCCTTGTCTGTAGACGAATTCGGCAAACTTGGTCAATAAAAAAAGCCGATTGCCATTAATAGAGCTGTACTTTTCTTTGTTATAATAAGGGGATTGGATGGCCGAGTGGTTAGCGTGTGCGCGTTGTATTGTAAGGTCTGTTATTGAGTCAGCTGGCGTGGTTTCGATTCCTGGGTTATACGTGACAAGGAGTAGGGTCGCATGTCCAACTTTGTGGGTTTTCTCCGGGTCCTCTGGTTTCCTCCCACTGCTAAACACCCCTGCGCGCAAGATAATTATTGAAATAAAATTGAACCATATGTTAGTTCCGAATCTCTCCCCCCCCCCCCTCTCTCTTTGTCACAATAAACCCTTTCTTTGTAATAAACAGAAACCCTTTCCACAGAAGTCTTTTGAAATAACAAGTCGCCTTTAGAAATAAGCGGAGTAAAAATTTAACATTAGAATAAAGAGAACATATTATATCTTTGACTTCGCTAAAAACAAAATAGAAAAATTTCCCATTAAATTTTCGTGAAATCTTTAAATCGACCGGAGAAAAAGCACGAAAAGGAAGACTGCGATAACGTCTTAAAGCCTGAAAATCTTCATAATTCTCATTTTTGCTAGATTATTCATAACATCAGAATGCAATATTCCATTTTTTATTTTTAAAATACAACGAATTATTGTTTTTAAAAATGTAATTACTGAAATACTTTATATTTTAATATAAATTAATCACAATAAAATTAATAACTTATTTATAAAATCAATTCATATCATATTCAATACCCATATAATATCAAAAGACCATAATTTATCAATTTATCAATATGCATGCCCCGTTGAATGTAAAATAAATCTTTTAAAAAGATAAAGATAATTAACTAGTAAAATTCTTATGATCCGTGGTGAGGCAAAATATAACTTTAATACTTTTAAATGTATCAACCCTTTAGATCCATGAATAGCTTAAAATTTAAAATGGTATCTAATTAAACAAAAAATAAGAGAGCGATATAATGGATAAAGAATTTATACTGGCTTTTATGGAAAATGATTTAGAATATTCCTTATAATATGAGGTGACATAAAATGGACTAACTGAGTATCCAATTCTAGTTACGGTAAATAATAAGAATAATTATATTTGAACAATATCTAGGACTTTAGATATAGAATTCTTTTATGAATTTCAAAGGAAAAAGCACCTGAAATAGGTTGTTATTATAATTTGATGTAGTATGCTTACCTAATATTAGAACATTAAAATCCCGAACAAAATATTGAAACTTTCACATATAAACACCATAGTCCCACCATTTACTTATAGAAATAACCTTCTTCTGTCATGTCGGCTACTCCTTTGATGTTCTACTCTCTAAGGTGGCACAGCTTAGACGACAGTATAAGCGCGAGCTCACGTGCGTTAGGTAGAATATATACGGGCTATATCATGTATGTGTATAAGTTGGTTTCGCCTCATAGCTTTCAGTTTTCAATTATAGCGAGAGTATACAGTCATTCGAGCAATAATTATTGAAATGAAATGAAATCAAACGGTATTTTATGGCTTTTCTATTGAACATGTAGATCTATTAAAAGAACAAAATAGCTCACGGCGCGAAACGAAAATAACTATTGAATAAATCGTATACAACACACGAATATATACCGTTTATTACTGTGTGTCGTGAATGGGGTAGACTGTGCTTATCTTTTCTAGAATACGTGATGCAATTCTTAATTATTTGGGGAATTCACATGGTTAATATGCCTCTCAAGGATTGTGCAAGTACAAGTATATTTAATATACTGCGTGTGCCGTGAATGAGGTAGACTGTGCTTACCCTTTTCTAGAATACGTGATGCAATTCTTATATATTTATTTGGGAAAATCACATACTTAATATGCCTCATAAGGATTATGCAAGTACAAGTATATTTAATAGCTTTTGTCTGACTGATTGGAAGAGATAATGATGATAACCAATGATAACCAACATCTCTGTTTGTCATTTACGTTTTTTACATTACCATCTTTCGCAGAGCAATAAATTAGATATAAATACTACAGCCTACTCTTATTTCGAATTCCAATTGTCATGGGTTCTTTTAAGAGCACATCAACGTGTACACGGGACCTCAGTTTTCGACCCATCCGACAATGTTCCTTGCCGGGCCCTCCGTCCGGCACCACTGACATGGGGAAACCATGCCGGAAAATATACAAATGACATGCAAAGAAAAATTATAACTTACGGAAAAGTCCCAACTTTGTGAATTTAAGCATAATTCAACAGAATAAATCTATTGATATCGAAAGTGTAGTAAAAATATAATTTAATTATTAGAAAAGACAGAACATTTATTCTGTCAGTCATATCTCAGCAATATTTATACTTATTATGATATATAATATACTTATTATGAAATATAATATACTTATTATGAAATATAATATACTTATTATGAAATATAATATACTTATTATGAAATATAACATACTGCATTATGGAATATTATATACTGTATTATGGAATATAATATACTGCATTATGAAATATAATATACTTATTATGAAATATAATATACTTATTATGAAATATAATATACTTATTATGAAATATGATATACTTATTGTGAAATATAATATACTTATTATGAAATATAATATACTGCATTATGAAATATAATATACTTATTATGTAATATAATATACTTATTATGAAATATAATATACTTATTATGAAATATGATATACTTATTGTGAAATATAATATACTTATTATGAAATATAATATACTTATTATGAAATATAATATACTGCATTATGAAATATAATATACTTATTATGAAATATGATATAGTTATTGTGAAATATAATATACTTATAATGTAATATAATATACTTATTATAGAATATAATATACCCATTATGAAATATAATATACTGCATTATGAAATATAATATACTGCATTATGAAATATAATATACTTATTATGTAATATAACATACTCATTATGAAATATAATATACTTATTATGTAATATAATATATTTATTGTGGAATATTTAAACTGCATTATGGAATATACTGTATTATGGAATATAATATACTGCATTATGAAATATAATATACTTATTATGAAATATAATATACTTACTTGAATGATAGAATAAATATTACTGTCATAATGGATGTAAACAAAGCGTTCTATTTATAAAGTTCTTTCAAAATTCAATTACCTCTTGGGCTTTTGGTTTCTGTTAAAGATAAAGAGGCAACAACGCTTTAAAAGTATTCGGTAGTTGATGAAAAATAATGTTCAATTCGATGTGATTTGACTATACATTTATGCAGCAATATAATTAAATTTTTAGGTTTTTAAGACGATGGCCTTTTTGTGTTAAATGTAATATAAACACGTCAACATCTATACAAGTTCATATATTTGTACCCATGAAAATGAAGGTTGTCTTTATAATGAGAACTGATGTGGGTAATTTATCTGCAGTCACTCGGTGTCTGTAGGTTCAAATCTATAAAAAAAAATTGATAGGTTAAACGATGTTATTAATAGACAATCAGTCCTTTTAGACTAATCAGGACCGGATCAGAGGGGATTTTATGATTTAATGAATGGATTTATTATGTTCTATATTGTGGGTTTCACCATAATATTACTCATAAAGTAATGGCGCGTGATATTTCTCTCTGGATTAGGTCTAATCAAACAAATACTGCGAAGATTAGGTAGAAAGGCTACCATATATAATTCGAATAAACAATCAAAGGATGAAATTGTGTGGTCTCTTTTTTCTTCCTCATAATATTTTGTGCTATATACCAATTAATATTAAATGAAATGTTCGTGCTGAAGTTGCAATATCGAATGATGTGTTTTAAAATATTAGATGCACACATCCTTTCAATCCTTCTCTGCTGGTATGGCGATCTTTGATTTGAACAGCAGTCTGGCTAATAAAGACAGACATACCCCTTACAGGGTGCCATGGAAGAATTTGGCCTGGACAGCGTGGTTTCTTCTTACTCTTCTTCGAATTCCATCTCTCAAGGTTTTTTTTAAGCGCAGGCCAATGTGTACCGAGCTTGGTCTCTGTTTTGTGTACTATCCGAACGACTAGCCATTGTTTTACTTGTCATACCCGCATTTGCTACCCCCTGGCAAGAGGGAACCGACTTTGAAAAATTGTTGTAGACCTAAACAAGAGCGGACGTCAACATGTACAGACATTGACGTGTGTTTTTCGTACTATACGAACGACTAAGTGTTACCCCCTGGCAAGAAAAATGAAATGGGGTTTAACGCCCTACTGTTCTGCTCCGACTAGGCTAATGCCCGGACAGCGGCGCTACGGCCTATTCTTATACCGAATTCCAACTGCCAAGGGAAATTGTACGTGCACGCCAATGTGTACACGGGACCTCGTTTTTTTGTCCCATCCAAACGACTAGACAGCTGTCCTTGTCAGGCCCTCCGTCCTGCACCACTGACAAAGAGACAACCACGCCGGAAAAATCCGATAAACCCCTGGCAAGAAGGAAACCAGACTTGAAAGGTAGCTGTAAACAAGAACGGCTATATAAAGCTATTACTAGTGTTTTATATAGCACCCACGTGTTATCACAACCTATATTAATAGTGTTTTATTTAGCACCAAGCTGTTATTTTTACCTATTTTAATCTAGTTATTAGCAGAACATATTTTCACCAAGATGTTATAGACGGCTAAGGCATTTCACTTAAAGGGCATGACCTCTTGAATTTGGTAGAAAATAAAGATACCGATTTTATTCAATTTTATGAATTAATTTGTTTTACGTGATGATTTAAAATTTTCTATATTTAAATTTGTACGCTCGTGGATTCAGCCAAAGTGAAGATATCGAGCCGATTTTGTTTTCACCATTCTACGATTTATGTCAAAAACTAAAATAATTATTGAAAATTTATTGTATATAATACATCACTAATGATACTGAATTAATACATCATATCAACCAAATCAATTCAGCATGTAATTTTGATCTAAATCAAATCGGAACTGTCGTATCTTTAAATGAACGAGAGGTAACGCTATCAAATCGGACCTGTGTCGTGTCTTTAAAAGAATGAGAGGTAACGCTATCAAATCGGACCTGGGCCGTGTGTCTTTAAATGAACGAGAGGTAACGCTATCAAATCGGACCTGCGCCGTGTGTCTTTAAATGAACGAGAGGTAACGCTATCAAATCGGACCTGTGTCGTGTCTTTAAAAGAATGAGAGGTAACGCTATCAAATCGGACCTGGGCCGTGTGTCTTTAAATGAACGAGAGGTAACGCTATCAAATCGGACCTGCGCCGTGTGTCTTTAAATGAACGAGAGGTAACGCTATCAAATCGGACCTGTGTCGTGTCTTTAAAAGAATGAGAGGTAACGCTATCAAATCGGACCTGCGCCGTGTCTTTAAAAGAATGAGAGGTAACGCTATCAAATCGGACCTGCGCCGTGTGTCTTTAAATGAACGAGAGGTAACGCTATCAAATCGGACCTGTGTCGTATCTTTAAATGAACGAGAGGTAACGCTATCAAATCGGACCTGTGTCGTGTCTTTAAAAGAATGAGAGGTAACGCTATCAAATCGGACCTGGGCCGTGTGTCTTTAAATGAACGAGAGGTAACGCTATCAAATCGGACCTGCGCCGTGTGTCTTTAAATGAACGAGAGGTAACGCTATCAAATCGGACCTGTGTCGTGTCTTTAAAAGAATGAGAGGTAACGCTATCAAATCGGACCTGGGCCGTGTGTCTTTAAATGAACGAGAGGTAACGCTATCAAATCGGACCTGCGCCGTGTGTCTTTAAATGAACGAGAGGTAACGCTATCAAATCGGACCTGTGTCGTGTCTTTAAAAGAATGAGAGGTAACGCTATCAAATCGGACCTGCGCCGTGTCTTTAAAAGAATGAGAGGTAACGCTATCAAATCGGACCTGCGCCGTGTGTCTTTAAATGAACGAGAGGTAACGCTATCAAATCGGACCTGTGTCGTGTCTTTAAAAGAATGAGAGGTAACGCTATCAAATCGGACCTGCGCCGTGTGTCTTTAAAAGAACGAGAGGTAACGCTATCAAATCGGACCTGCGCCGTGTCTTTAAAAGAATGAGAGGTAACGCTATCAAATCGGACCTGCGCCGTGTGTCTTTAAATGAACGAGAGGTAACGCTATCAAATCGGACCTGTGTCGTGTCTTTAAAAGAATGAGAGGTAACGCTATCAAATCGGACCTGCGCCGTGTGTCTTTAAAAGAACGAGAGGTAACGCTATCAAATCGGACCTGCGCCGTGTCGTTAAAAGAATGAGAGGTAACGCTATCAAATCGGACCTGCCCCGTGTCTTTAAAAT